TCAGAAATTTCTGAAGGAGGGTCTAGGCCCGAAACGTCAGCCTTCCTGCTCCTCTGATGCTGCTTGGCCTGCTGTGTTCATCCAGCTCTACACCTTGTTAGGTCTGGCAGTATCTGTGGAGAGAAAGCAGAGTTAATGTTTCGGGTCCAGTGACCCTTCTTCAGAACTCTTTCTAATGTAAACTTAGTCATTAACTCTATTAAAATTCAATAACTTATCAGACACAACCCCTTCAATTGATAACTGGAATTTTTCTACTATCATCAAGTCAGAAACAAGGATATGATCTAAACATCTCCTAAACAATATTTCTGCTCAGCTGAGTGAAAGCGAGTGTGTACCAGCCTGCAGGAAATTCACATTTCTTTACTTTCAAAGCTTGGGGACACTGAACCAAGTGTAGCACCTCACTGCAGGAGGTAAACACATTCAGAGCGAGACTGCAGCAAAATGGCAGAGTGGGAATACTGACTATAATTTGGTTCAAAATGGAAATTTGGTCTAAAGGTGGACAGAAGTCCTTTAACCAGGTTTTAATCCAAGGAGTAAACTCACCAGAGCTAGAGGTAAATAGAGAGGATAAAAAGTGTGCATTGAGAAGCTGACCTTCAGTCGGACCAGTAACAGAGCAGTGTCACAAACCACAAAATGATGGGAGTGCAGGGAAAGAAGCTGGTTGGTGAATATATTTTAAAGTAAAAGTAAGGTCTTCACTTTGTATTTATGGCTTCAGTATTTTTCTATCTTTTCATAAAAATAACTTTAAGTATTAGATTGATACTGGTGATTTTATTCATTTTAATTTATAAAAACAAAATATCATTACAATGAAATGTAAATAGTGTGGAATCTCAACTAATTAACAAGTTAAATCAAATATTATAGTGATGGCAGAAAAGGTGATGTGTTGCTGCCACAGCATGTGGAAGCTGCTTAATGTGATCCAGAACAAGCACATCTGTAGTAAGGATTTGCAGCTCAAGGGACTTCAATTCCAAATTGAGGAGCTGCTGATATTGTGCCACAATAGGGAAGGTGAAAGTTACCTGGACAATTTGCTCCTCAGGATGATCACATTCCTCAGACTAGGTGATTCAAAATTGGTTACCTTAGTTGGCTTAAAGTCTGTTATTGGGAAAATTAGTTAGATTATTATTAAAAAAAAGCTATAGAAAGCATTTAGAAACATATGATCAAGTTGGCATGTCTTAATGAAGGAGAAATCATGCCTAACAATAGAATTGTTTCAGGAGGTAAGCAGGATAGATAAACAGGAAGCAGGGGATGTAACATAGTGAATTTTCAGAAGGCATTGATAAATTACGACATGTTAGGCTACTTAATAAGGTAAGACCATATCCATGGTTTTGGAAGTAGTATATTAGCTTGGAGGAGGTTTGGCTAACTATTAGATTTGGGATATGGAGGGCATTTTTAGAATGGCAGCCTCTTGCTTATGGAGTGCCACAGAGATCAGTGCTGGTGCCAATTACTTACAACAAATATGAATGACTTGAATGAGGAAAGTGAATGTACTATGGCCAAATTTGTTGATGGCACAAGAATAGGTAGGAAGGCAATTAGTGAGATTGTGCATTTTGGCAGGAAGAATAGAGGAGCCATATATTATTTTAATGGAGAAAGACTGCAGAAAGCCTCAGGACAGAGTGACTGGTTCATAAAATGCACAAAAGAGCTGAATTCCGGATGAGATCAGTGTCTGTCTTATTATCAAGGCTGCATTTGACCAAGTGTGGCATCAAAGAGCCATAGCAAAACTGGAGCCAATGGGAATCGGGGAAGGAAAAACTCTCTTGGTTAGAGTCATACCTAGCACATAGGAAGATAGTTGTGGATGTTGAAGTGGGGATATTCGTTGATGACTGCACAATGTTCAGCACCATTTGTGATCCCTCAGATACTTAAACAGTCAATGTGCAAACGTTGACAATAACCAGGGCTGACAAGTAGCAAGTAATATGTGTTCCACACAAATGCCAGGCAATGACTATCTCCAATGTGAGACAATCAAGCCATCATCCCTCGATAATCAATAGTGTTACCATATCTTGGGAGTTACCATTGATCAGAATCTCAACTGAACTGGCCATATAAGTACACAGGCTACAACAGAAAATCAAGAGCAAGGAATCTTGCAACGTCTGACTCACCTCCTGACTCTCCAAAGCCTGTCCACCATCTACAGGGAACAAGTCGTGAGCGTGATGAAATATTACCCACTTGCTTGGAGGCGTACAGCTTCAACAACACTCGAGAAGTTTGACACCATCCAGGATAAAGTAGCCTGCTTGACTGGCACTACATCCACAAGCATCACTCCCTCCACCATTCACATAGCAGCAAGTGTGTACCATCTACAAGATGCACTGCAGAAATTCACAGCATCTTCCAAAACACAGATCACCACCATCTAGAAGGACTTTGCAGCAGATACATGGAAGGACCATTATCACCTGCAAGATCCCCCCCGAAGCCACTCACCATCCTGACTTGGAAATATATCATCGCTCCTTTAGTGTTGCTGGGTCAAATCCTCAAAATTTCCTCCCTAACAGCATTGTGGGTCTACCTACAGTACATGGACAAGGGAGCTCACAACACCTCCTCAAGGGCAACAAGGTATGGACAATATACGCTGGGCCAACAGCGATGCTCTACTCCAATGAGTGAACTGAAAAAACAGATGGGTGTCCTTGTCTATAAATCACAAAAAGCTAGCATCCAAGTTCAGCAGGTAATGGGGAAAGTGAATGGAGTATACAAGTAGAGAAGTTTTGCTAAAACTATACTAGGCATTATTCCACAGCTGGAATACTCTGAAAGATGTTGGACCCCTTTTCTAACGAAAAATATCTAGCATTGGAGGTTATTCAGAAAAGGTTTCACTAGATTGATCTCAGATATCGACGGATTTTCTTTCTAGGTGAGGTTGAGTAAGTTGGGCATGAGCTCGTTGGAATTTAGAAGAATCAAAGTCAATTTTATTGAAACATACAAGCTTCTTAGGGACCTGACAGGGTACATATGGAGAGCTTGTTTCCATTTGTGGAAGAGTCTAGGACAAGAGTACATAGTCTCAGAATAAGGGTTTGCACATTTAAGACAGGGAATGAGGAGGAATTTCTTCTCTCAAAGGATAGTGAATCTGTGGAATTCTCTACTACAGAGAGCTGTCAAGGCTGGGTTGTTAAGTACATCGAAGGCTGAGATAGATTTTTAAACATTCAGGGAATCAAGGATTATGGGAAAAAGGCAGCAAAGTTGGGGATTATTAGGTGAGCCATGAATTTACTGAATGGCACAGCAGATTCATTGAGCTGAATGGCCTACTTCTGCTCCCACATTTTAAGAGTTAGCCTAACTCAGCAAAACTCAAGGAGTATTCCGATGAGGTGTCATTCGGCTCAAAACATTAATTCTGTTTTTCTTTCTCCATAGATGCTGCCAGACCTGCTGAGTTTCTCTAGCATTTCCTATTTTCATTATCAGGAGTTTTCTTGGTCTGATCCCACATTAGAGTCAAGCTATTTCCTGAGCTTATGTTCTTATCTTCAGTTTACTGAAGCATATTGTATACTAAATCCTGCTGTAATGTCATTTTTATGAAAAAAAAGTACCTTAAAATGAGGAATTTAAAGGCATTGGCACAGATCTTCCAAGCAATGGCAGTGGTCATTGCATTGCCCTGCAAACATACATTTCCCCAAACAGATGCAGTTGCATACTTCTATGGGGTTCTACTAAGCCTGGTTTTCACAGAATTGTGATTTCATTCATTTACTGCCAGCATTTAGTGCCCATCCCTAGTTGCCCTTGAGAAAGCAGGAGTGAACTGCCCTCTTATACAGCTGTAGTCCGTTTTTGCTGTCAGTATATCCATGTCGTTAGGAAGGAAATTCCAGGATTCTGATTCATTGACAGTGAGGGCAAATGCAGTCTGAATGTTAATGGATGACTGGGTGAATGGTGAGTGGAGGACCGAGTCTATGGATAGTTTGGTCAGGGGATAAAATGGAAAGGTGGGAAAGGTAGATAGGTGGATGTGTGAGATGGGCTGCTGGGATGTAGGTATTTGGGTATGAGAGTGTGGTGTTTATATGGGTGAGGTGGCTATGTGCACATAACATGGTAGGAGAGTGGACGCAGGTAGATGGGTCGGTAATTCACTGGGTAGTCAGGTGGGAGGAGCACTCAGTTTGGATCAAAGGGGTAGCCAGGTGCCATTCAGACTGGGAGAGCAGTTGTCGAGTATTCAGATTAGGTTGAGGGGGCGAGAGTGCGATTGGTCAGGGTGTAATCTAACTGGGCAGCTGACAGGTGGTACTGAAGGGAATAGCTGGTCTGGGTCAGAGAGATGTGTTAACTTGAGCTTCAGTCAGAGTGGCAGCGTGTTGATTCAGGGGACTAGTCTGGCAGAGTTCATTGGAGAGCTGTTTCTATAGTTACCCAAGAGTTAGACTAGGTGTTAATGTGTCTAACATTTCTTGGGTAATTACCCAAGCAAGTACTACAAATCCTTCCCAACTGTGATATTCATGGAGGGAGCAATGGAGTAGGGGAATATGCTCATCAGAAGTTGAAATTTCCTTGGAAATTCTCTTGGAGGTTCACTTGTTGTGTCTTCCATAGGGTCTCTAGACATATCTTCAGTTTTATGTCCAGTCTTTGATGATCCACATTCTCTCCTGATGGTCTCCTCCCCCATCTCTTTGTACATGGAGGCACCAATCTCCCCTGCCACTTTCCCTCCAAATACTTCTGCCTCCAAATACTTAATCTCTCTGGTCATGAACCAGCCAAAGTTCCAGCACCAAACTCCCAATCTCTCTGACCCCAGCATCCAAGATCACAGCAGTTCTCCAACTGATCTTGCCCAGTTTGACACCTGACCTTTCCACTCCCTCTCATCAACAGTGAGCTGCTTCCTCTTGAATCCTTTCTCATTTGATACTGACAAATTGTGCCATAATAAGACCATAAGACATGGAAGCAGAAATTAGGCCATACAGCCCATTCAATCAGCTCTGCCATTCAATCGTGGCTGATAAGTTTCTCAACCCCAGTCTCCCGCCTTCTCCCTGTAACCTTTGATCCCCTTAACAATCAAGAATAATGCAGAAGGTCTCCCTGCCCAAGAAGCAGCCAGTCTCTTAATCTTGATGGCTGTGGCTAGGAAATGAACTTGAAAAATGCTGATCTAATGTTAGGACCCAGAAGAGGAAAATAATCCAGGGTTCTCAATATGGATTCCCTTCACATGCAACAAGCATCGTGTTCAGTTCTGATGCCACCACATTACATGAAATCAATGTTCCAAGTATCAAAAAAGCCACATTGGAAGATAGTTCAATTGTCTCTAAATGAAATAAATAGCACATGATACCTGGTCTAAATGTCTGTCTCTCATAAGTTCATATTCATTTCCTAAGGTATGTTGAAACAGAGTCCATATGATGGCTTCAAGTGGAGGATGGTCAGATGGCAGACGAAGATGGTTGCAGAGCATAATCAATCGAAGATATGCCAATCGATACACTGCATAAATAATACATGGCAAGAAGTAAAGTCATTTTAGTTTTGTGCTCAATAACTTATCATCACAGAATATTGTCAAAACAACCAAAAATGTCTTCACATAATTCTTGCAAAGAAATGTATTTTCAAATTGGAGAAAGTTTCCTAGATACATATCAGTATTATTTTCAGATTTTCAATATGTTCTGATATGGATTAGCCATGTTATACAGGAGAACCTGCTGGCTGCTGATGGGGAGGAACGGATTAATCTATTAGTCTTTGGAGGGCAACAAAATAAGGAAGTTCTGACGAAATCCCAACAGAAGATGAAGTAACCAACCATGATGAAATGGAGGGTTTCAGACTCCAGGTAGACAAAAATAATTGATGTAAATTCCCTTGGCAGGGTGACTGACTCAGCTGAATAAAGCAGCATAAATTATTACAATGGAAAATCTTTCTGAAACAGGAAGTCAAATATATCCTTCTAAAGCATAGTACTGAAAGTGAAGCTTGAAAATTTTATTTTTGGATGAAAATGATCAAATGGTCTATGCTGTGTATAAGCCAGTTAAAGAAAACCACTTTTTTTACCAGACAAAAAGAGGAAATTTCAATTGCTTCTGTCACCACCAACTGCGTTATCTGTTTTAAACGTCAATTTACCTTGTAAAACTGTAAAAACTAGAAATTTAGATAATGTTAGGTTGTACTTAAATGACTGTTATTTTTAACCTTCTGGCATCAGCTTTTCAAAAGTTGGCCAGTAGGAAAGAGATAGTTCTTCTACATAGGGATGATAATGGCACAGTTAGAAGCCTTTTAAACTCTAATCTTTAATAAACATTGTGAATTACATGCTCTTGGTTAATTCATTGGATGTTAGAGATCTTAATGAAAACTTAGACAGCTATGCCATTCCAACAAGAGTCACTTTCTCAATCGGTATGAGGGGATAGGGGTCCACGAGGATGGTGTGGGGTGGGTGGGGGGCGGAGAGGGAGGTGAAATTCAAGGACAAATCTCCAGCATCCTCATGTGTCATTCAGGTAGCAACAGGGATGCAGATGTAGAAGGTACAATCCAGTAACCCACCAAATGCCCTCTAAAATTGTGTGTTTGTCACAGTATCTGTTTTTTTGGTGATTCTCTTTTGGCTGCCTCTTAATTCTCATTCCTTAGATATCAGTAAAATAACATTAGGGAGTTTTTCCACCATAGCTGAGACATTTCTGACTGGATCAGACATTGATTATTCAAACAGTTCTCAAACCATTTTTATTTGTTGGCCTCTACAATTTCAAACTTGTTCAGCTATGAGAACTTAAAGAATTCTAATGCCCTCTCACATTCCTGTAATAAGAAAAAAACTCAAATCTACCTAACTTTCATATATTATTGCTACCTCCTTTGTTACTTACTCTTTTAGTTTAATGTCCATTTGCCTGCTCCTAGCTTCTGTTCATTGTCCCTTGCCTGACACCATTGATGCTGCTCTACTAGCCTCTCACTTAGAGAGGTGGGTGAGGTGTGAAAGGAAAGCATATGGGATGGCAAGTAGGTAACAGCAAGGGTGTGAGGACAGGGAGACAGCGAGGAGGGTGGAATCAGGCGTTCAGGACAGGGAAGTGGTGAGTGGGGTTCCAGAGATGCTGAGAGTGAAGCATCAGGAAATGTTTAAATAATAAACTAAATATGTTCTTGGCAGATGCACAGCAACCATGTGAGAAAAAAAATACACCATCTGTATACATATTCTGCTACCATCTGAAGCACAGCAAAGCAGCCCTAGACTGGTCAATACTATGGCTATTTCTTATTTGCTTTAGAATTATCACTAAGAGCTCCAGAAGATAATTTGTACAATGACGTACATTTTTTGTAGAAGAGAGAAAGTGAGGTAAATCTCTGAGGTTTTTGCTGAAGCTGGAACTGAGACTGGCCAGCAGATGATGTCTCAATCTTTGCTTGCTGTGTGGGAACTTCATGCGCTGTACAGGACCCTCTTCTCTGCGGGGATCTGTCCGGATGCAAATAACTGTAGACAAATAGAAGATTCCAGAGGTGACTGAGCTGCTTTGCTAAATGAGAATTAAATTCAGGTAGACATGTATATATGTAATGAGAATACTCTAGATTATGTGTTTATATCTGCTTGCTTCTACAACTTCAGCAATGAACACTAGCTGTCAATGATAGCCACAGAGTATATCCTGTGTACATACATACTTACAGGTCTGCAGCAGTGTGGTTATGCTGCAAAGGTTGTTCGAGAGTACTAGTGGGTTCAGGCTGATCTGGCTGATCTTCCTGTTCCTTTTGCTGTCTGAGTATGTCAAACAAAGGTGAGTCCTGAAAGAAACACAGTTCACATTTAAAAAAAGATCTAAACCTAAACAGATCCCTAAATATTTGCATGATGCCATTCAAATAATGCTAGAATACAATGTGGGAAGAATATTAAGAAGTTTGGGGAACATCCAGGAGAATGAATTAGAAGGCTCAAGTCAGGGGAACAACCGCATGATTGACTGAGCTAAATTGCACAATAACATTCTATCACTTTGCAAAAGCCCTTCCACCTTGGCCTGAATGGAAGACTAACTCTCATTAGCTTTCTACCTTGTGTAATTCAACATTTAAAAATAACTGTTGGATAACAAATATTAACAGCATTGGTAAGGCACAGAGTTTCCAACAGATTAACAGAGAAACATAGTGAATTGGTTTTCTATTTCAACACAGTACAGAAATTCCTCTAAACTTTGTGTGCTTTCAACAATGTTTTCATTACATTTATAGAACTAAATCAATGCAGGTGGTAAGGGAAGGGAAGTAAAAACCTAGATGCAGAAAGGAATAAAATAAACTAAATGGTGAGTGAGCATAAAATAAAAAAGATCTGAAATGACAGCACTGCTCACAGGAGCATTCTAGTGAAATGCATCAAATCTTCAAAGCAGCCATGATAGTTTGAGCAGGGTGTTGGAGCAATTTGCCTAAGAGCAGTCAGGAATGGCACCAGAGTGGTGGGATGAAGTATTTACCGAGGCAGTGGCTACAGTTGGCAAACAATGAATAAGGGGTATCACACAGCACAGAAGGCAGTCATTTAGCCCATCATGTTACCGTGGACTCTTTAAAAGAACTATTAATAAAGTCCCACTACCCTCACTTATTTCCTGTAGCCCTGCAAATTTCTCCTTTACGGGTTAACTTTAACAGCTTGTAGTTATATAGCGAATTTAACAGACCGTAATGCCCCAAGGTGCCTTCAAATAAACGTTAACACCAAACACACGAAGTGATATCAGAAAGTGCTGCAAACCATTTGGTTAAAGCAATAAGGAGTGCATAAAAGGACAAGAGAGAGGTTTAATTAAAAAAGAATTTTCAGAACTACGGAGCTGGACACAGAAAGGAGTGCCCACTGATTTTGCAGCAGAGTGGTAACAACTGAGAATACACAAGGAGCCAAAAATGGAAGAGTGTAGAATTGAGGAGAAAGTTACATAGGTAGAAAGTGGTGACAGCATGGAAGGATTTAAAAACAAGGATAGAAATTTTAGCATTGAGGATTGGCTGGACTGGGATCCATTGTAGGTCAGTGAGCATAGCATGTACAAATAAATAGGATTGGTATGTGAGTTAAGATATGGGCAGCAGACTTTTGAAGGAGCCACAGGTTACTGAGGCTAACCAGCAATGCAATAGTAATTGGTCTAGATATGACAAAGGCACAGAGAAGAGTTTCAGCACCAGATACATTGAGGCAGAGAGGGATGGGCACTGCTATGCAGATTGAAAACAATCTTGATTATATAGAGAGAGCATGGAGTTAGGTGGTCAGCTCAGCATCAAATGGGTACTGAATCTTAAACAGTATGTTTATGCTGCAGACAATGTTTAGAGGATGGAGTTAGTACCGAGCGAACGGAGTTTGTTGTGTGGACTGGAGACAACAGCTTTGATCATCTCAACATCTAATTGGAGGAAATAACGACATATCCAATACTATTGTGATACAAGTAGTGCAACAAATCAGAGGCATAGTTCTAGAGAGCTGCTGGTGAGACTGAATTTTTGAATGTTACTACTTTTTAACATACTTTGATGACGGTATGTTCCAGATTATAGTAATTAGCAGCATAACTCTCTTCAGATATTGTATCAATTATTCCAATTTTGCATTCTTTACTTTCACTTCTGTAAACTAAAACATTTTCTTTCATCTACTCCAGAAAAAAAACCCAGTACAATTTGATCATATTTATCAAATCTGTTTAGTCAATTCAGCTTCTCTACTCTCTCCACATATCTCAAGTTACTACTCTCTGTTACTATTCTAGTAAATCTTGTTTGCACCTCTTGACATCCTTTGTAAATTGTGGTTCCCAGAACTGGACCCAAAACTCCAGCTGGATCTAATCAAGGCAAGTATAATATTTTTCTTATTTACGTCCCGGAAGGCACCAAACAGCTCCACTTATGTGTGTGTGTAAGTAAGCTGTGAAAACAATGATTCCAGTTTGTGTTTTACATATACAACACAATTTGCATCAATTATTAGCTTCTTCTGCTATACTGTTAAATATGTTTCTAATCTTTTTGCTTCTATATTCTGTAAACAAATTTAAACAATTACTTTTGGCTTACTAAGCAGTGGCTGTGTAACATAAGTCTGATCCTGTTAATTCAGTCATTTTACATTTGAAAACAAAACAACTCTAATTATCCAATAGTCTATTTAAGTTATTTTAACAAAATAGCAGACGAGGTAATATAATGTTCAAAAGAGAAACGTATTGTGACCCTACAAGGCAGAAAATAAATATGCAACTTATAATTCAATGTTTTATAGAAAAGGGGGTAATCCAACAGTAAGTTCAAGAAAAGTTGAAATTTGAATCACCAACCCATTCAAACAAACATTTTCTTGGAATAATGATGGCAAGGTTGTGTAGTGGAATATTGCATAAACCATATTAATAACAGCAAGAACAATGTACAATAAAAAGTTTACAAACCAAAATCCTGAGTTACTAGAAACATTACCTTCAGTTGGAATCCAACTGTTAATCAATCTTGTTCAAACAAGTAAATTACAGATGACAAAAAAAACTATTAAAAACCCAGCAGGATGCAATTAGGTCCTCGGTTCAAGTGCAAACATGGCTCATATATATCACAGATGCCAGCATTTCAGCCACATTTCTCCCCCTCAAGGGAATCAGGCTTCGCTAGTGTAAAGATCAGACAACTATCAGGAAACAGTCCATTAATTATATCAAATAAATTAATCTTCCTCTTCATTTCCATCTTCTTAAAGCCAATAATTCATGGTGATATATAGGAACATAGAAAATAGGTACAGGAGTAGGCCATTCGGCCCTTCAAGCCTGCACCACCATTCAATACGACCCTGGCTGATCATGCAATCTCAGTATCTCATTCCCGCTTTTTCTCCATACTGTCGGATCCCTTTAGCTGCAAGGGCCACGTCCAGCTGCCTCTTGAATATATCTAATGAACTGGCCCTAACAGCCTCCCGTGGGAGAGAATTCCATAGGTTCATAACTCTCAAAGTCAAGAAAATCTTGCTCATCTCAGTCCTGAATGGCTTACACCTCATTCTTACATTGTGACTCCTAGTTCTGGACTTCTCCAACATCATGAATATTCTTCCCACATCTAGCCTGTTCAGTCTGATCACGATTTTGTGTTTCTATGACAGCTCCCCCCCCCTCATTCTTCTAAAATTCAGAAAGTATAAGCCCAGTTGATCCAGTCTTTCCTCATGTGTCAGACCTGTCATCCTGTGAATTAGTCTGGTGAACCTTCGCTGGACTTCCTCAATGGCAAGAGTATCCTTCCTTAGACTAGGAGACCAAAACTGCACACAATACTCAAGGTGTGGCCTCACCAAGGCCCTGTATAACTGCAGCAAGAAATCCTTATTCCAACACTCAAATCCTCTTGCTATGAAGACCAGCATATTATATTGTTTCTTTGGGCTGCCAGTACCAGTGGCCAGTCCTTGTGTTGAAAATCAAGATTCTCGAATGTGAAAATGAAAGTAATCTTAATCTAAAGCGTAAAGCATCATGAAAATTAATATCCCACTGACCACAATATGGATCAATTAATCTCCCCATTAGCTTAGGAATGGCTCTTTTTCACAATTTAAGAACATTGATGCTTGCCAATAAGATGATGTTGTCTTGTTAAATGTAATTTGATTTATTTTTTCCTCTACGTTCAGCAGTCCATGAGTCCCCATCCAATCATTTTAATGGGAGGAGAACTACAGTCTTGCGAGTACAGAAGTGAGAAATGCTTACCATGACACTCAAAGTTCTACTCTGTCTCAGTCATAGAAGTTAACTATGTTCGAGTCGCATCAAAACTAGCAAATGCAACAAGAAATAGTCTTTAATGCTTCAGGTCAAACCAGCAGAAAACAAGTGCTACCATGATAAACAGCAGGTAACAATGAATAGAATACCCTATCACAATCATCAGCAGCAACTTTGCAAAGGTTGGATCCAAGTGAAATGTTCAAATTGTCTTGACTTCACAAACAGCAGCCATGTTTGAAAATTACAGTAAATTCTTGGCCTTTTTTGACCCCAATGTACTGAAGCAACTTGCCCCTGACAAAATAGCAAATTTCAGTTTAACATCACAAATAACTTTATTCTTAATACATATTTTTGTTAGTGGTACAGAGAAGTGCTGTCTGCCTCTCTCCTGCTTTCTGTTTTACTCATTTTAGGTTAGTGTTTACTTCACTCCACTCTACCTTCCATTGTGTCTTTTAACTTAGATGCAACACTTGAAGAACAAACAAAATCAAAATTGCTGGCCCCTGCCTCAGACTATCATAGCAGCTGGGTAAAACTTTCAGCAGCTAGTCTGCTGTGCCCAACATGTGGTATTTGCATGACGGGGAGAGGTGGTTTGGGGATAGAATGCATCAATTCTATGCCATTTACACTTACTTCCTGCTTATGGAACAAACCAACTCTGCATTTCCAAAAGGTAATGCTGCCTTTCTGAGAAGCTTTAACTGGATGTTACTCCAAGCAAAAAAGCCTAAGTATAAAATGTTGTGGTTATGCTTAATGTTATTTATTGTATTTCTCCTTTACACAGTAATTTGAGTCAACATAAGTTCTTCTCAAAAGCTGTGAAAATGATGCCCTATCCTTTTAAGTGTAACAGCAATTTCCACAAGTAATGTCTGATATAATTCCAGTAATTAAGGAGACTTCTTTTTAAATAGAAAAATACTAGCTAAAAGTTAAGAGATATTTTAAAAACAAAAATAATTTGTAAAGTTTATCATGACATTATTTACAGTTTGTTCTCACATGGGTGCGGAACCAATTAAGTTGGAGTAATACAAAGCTAAATATTATTAAAATCAGTAAAAAATACTATTATGTTTGACATTTATAAAGGAAACAACTTAGAGTTAAAGAATTTATTAACTTTTTATTTGTTTAGCAAAGAGCCAACTGGGCTTGATGCAGACGATCAGGTGTCTTGAACCCATATTTCAGTGATGCTGAATTTAAAAAAGACCCATCAGATATAAATATTAAGATGGCTTTAAACAACAAAAACATGCAAGTACTTATTGGCAAATTACAAAGCTGATTGAGCATCAATCCTAAGAAGCTAACTGGAGTGGAGACCTTAATAGCTAATAGAATGAAACACATACTGAAAAATGGAAGAAAATACAAAGAAATATAAATTGCACATCTACAAAGCTAGGATAGGTACAACCCAACTCCACATGCTCCTTTCCCTCAGCTCTATGTTTGTATTCTGCTAAATCAGGCTTCTGCTCATCACCACACGAAATCAGACCCACCAATGGCATCCTCTGTAAACTCTAAACTCCACCTTTCTAACCTGTCAGCATCGAAAGGCTCAGTCGGCAGCGTTGTACAATGTTCCCCTCTGTTGCACTGTTGGATAGAACTGTCCTTGCCAGGTTCCATTCTTATTTATCTTTCCTATCCCTGCAATGGCTTCTCTTCCTGCTCCTCCATAGTTTATACTGAAACCTCCCAAAGATCTATTCTTGGCCCCTTCTACTTCTCGGATATTTGATACCCTTTGGCGATATCATCAGATTCCACGAATGCTGATAATAGCCACATCTAACAAATCACTACCTTCTTCAAACTCTCTGCTGTTTGCAAATCATCAGCCTGCTTGTCAAACATCTAGAATGGGAACTGTAGAAATTTACCTATATATCTGGGTTATATCCTGTCCCTACAGAAAAGCCTTTTGTGGAACTGACAATTCCTCTCTCTGCTTCAGCTTCAACCAGAGTGGTCAAAATGTCAGTTCTATTAAATCTTGCACTGAGCTTTTGATCCCAGATCCTATCCATCCCCGTAACACTAACTGGCTGTGCCCCTGCCCCAGGAAAGTATCTACTAAAATTCTCACGCATGTCTTTGTAACCTCACTTAAGGAAGCCTTCCTATTAAATTCAGCAGGTCATTCAGGCCTTCTAACATTCTTGATCTCATCAGACCTACACACTCAACTTGCCATCAAGTTAAAATGCTTTTATCTTTAAGTTCTGTGTTATGTTATGAAATAACATAAGATGGGAGGAATTTTTCCTAATCAAATTAAATCACTTGTCAATTCAATGAAAAGCCAGTGAAGGTTTTTAAAATGACTTATTTTAATGACCTGGATGAAAAGACAAATTAGTTAAGTTTGCTGATAATACAAAGCTACATTGAAGGAAAAACCATAGGCAGGACACAGAGGCTGCAAAGAGATATAGACAAATTAACTGACTGAGCAACAAAATGTTAAGTGAGGTATAGTGCAAGGGAATATAGTACTAATAATGGAAAATCAGATTTTTTTTTTTAAAAAATAGGTCCTGTTGATGTTCCAGGACACTTGGGTGTATTTGTACAAAAGGAGCAAAGTCAGCATGCAGGTGCTGTAAGCAATTACAAAAGCCAATGACTGGAGTACATAAATAAATGTCTCGCTGAAATTGTACAGAGTTTAACAGATGATATCTGGAGTACTGTGTGCAGTTTTGGTCTCTACACTTAGAAAAAATATACTTGCATTGGAAATGGTACAGCGAACCTTTACTAAATTGGTCCCTGGGATGATAGGATTGTCCTATGATGAGAGGCTGAGCAAATTGAACCTATTTTCTCTGTAATTTAAAAGAGCAAGTGGTTGAGACGTACAAGATTCTTAAGGAGTTTGGTTGGATAGGTGCCTAGGAAACTGGTTGGGGAATTTGGACAGGGACACAGTATTAGGATAAGGGGCTAATCATTTAGGATTAATGTTAGGAGCAATATTTAACGGAAAAAGGCATGCATCTTTGGAGATCTCTGCCGTGAAGGTTTGGATGTGCTCCATCATTTAATATATTTAAGGCTGGGACAGACAAAGTCTTCGTCTCTCAGGGAATCAAGGGATAATACGGCACAGGCAGGAAGTGAATGTGGAAGACTAAGATCAGCCATGATCATTTTAAATGGTAGAGCATTCTCGAGAGGCTATACAGTCTATGATTGCATCTTTTCAATGCGTTTTTCACTGTCTCGTCAGATGTGGGCCATGTTTTGGGTCGGAACCTTTCTTCAGGACTTCAAGATAAACTTGCAGGTTGAGTCGGCAATTAGTAAGGCAAATACAATGTTGGCATTTATTCTGAGGGGATTAGAATATAAAAGTAAGGATGTACTTCTGAGACTTTAAAAACCTGTGGTCAGACCATATTTAGAGTATTGAGAGCAATTTTGGGCCCCATACCTCAGCAAGGATGTACTGGCCCTGGAGTGGGTCCAGAGGAGGTTCACAAGAATGATCCCAGGAATGAAAGGCTTAACAATATGAAGAACATTTGAGGACTCTGGGTCTCCTGGAAGGATGAAGGGGGAAATCTAACTGAAACTTACAGAATACTGAAAGGCCTGGATACAGTGGACGTTGGGAAGACGTCTCCTTTGGCAGGAGAGACCAGGATCTGAGGGCACAGCTTCGGAGTAAAGGGAAGACCCTTTAGAATGGAGTTAAGGAGAAACTTCTTCAGCTGGAGAGTAGTGAATCTATGCAATTCACTGCCACAGAAGGCTGTGGAGGCCAGGTCATTCAGTCTATTTAAGACAGAGATAGATAGGTTGTCAGGGGGTTCAAAGGTTACGGGGAGAAAACAGGACAATGGAGTTAAGAAACTTAAACAGCCATGACTGAATGGTGGAGCGGACTCGATAGGCCGAATGGCCTACTTTCTGCTCCTATGTCTTATGGTCTATTGTTGGGTAGATGCCAGTGTTCGAACTGTACTAGAAGAACTTGGCTAGGGGAGCAGCAAGTTCTGGAGCATAAGTCTTCAGTACAATTGTCAGTATGTTGTCAGGGCCCATTGCTTTTGTAGTATCCAGCGCCTCAAATAATTTCTTAATATCACGTGGAGTGAATCAAATTGGCTGAATACTGACACCTGTCATACTGAGGACCAATGGAGAAGACTTAGATGAATCATCCAGTCAGCACTTCTGGCTGTAGATTGCTATGAATGCTTCAGCCTTATATTTGCACTGATGTGCTGGACTCTTCCATCATTGAGAATGGGGATATTATGCGTTCTTATTTATCCAATGCAGTGTCACAATGTGATGAACTGTTAATAGATATTTCTTTAAATATGTCATCTTGTGTTATTAAAGCGCAACAAGCTTACAGACTTTAAAACATTTCAAGGTTTTTCAGGAAATTGGAGCCATATTGCAGACACGGATGCTATACAATCCATCATATCTATGCTAGCTCTTTGAAGGAACTACCTACTCAATTAGTCTCATTTCACACTGTCCCAAATCCATTCAAAACTTTCTTTTTCAAGGGAATTGAAAAAATCCTTTTTATTGAATGTGCTTCTGTCATCCTTTCAGGCGCTATATCCCAGATTAAACTACATGCTGCATAAAAAATTCTAATTACCCCTTTTTTGATAATTATTTCCAGGAAGTTTAATATTATTTCTTAGAAATCACTCAACAATTAGATAATTGCTGACAATATCTGAAATTGAAGAACACAATGCCAAATCTCTATGAATTAAACGCTTATACCAGTCATCAAATTGATTATCAAGAATACGAAGGTAGATCTGAAACAATGGAAACAATGGGAAAGTAAGTGCCCATGCAGAAAGTTTCAAGACTTAAAACATTAGGGCAAAAACTTAATCAGCAGCAAAATCCACAATGTTAAACTGAAAAGGCAAATTGTGTTTGAGTTTGTGGTGAAAATGAGAACTGCATAGTTGCTGTGGTAATGAGAAAAAACATACACATCTTGAAATTGCTATTTAAGCAGAAAGGCAAGGCAGCCACTGGTGGGATACAACTAGCTGCGTAATAATTTGTGGAGAGGGAAGCAAAGTTAATGCTTTGTGTCCGAAATGAAACTTGTTTTTTGGAACTTACAAAGTTCAATTCTGAAGATGTCATATGGACTTGAAACATTAACTTTTATCTGTGTCCACATATGCTACCAGATCTGCTGAGTTTCTTCAGCACTTTCTGTTTTCATTTCCAATCTCCAGCATCCGCAGTACTTCACTTTTATTTGAGTGGTATAGTTGATGCTCTGGATCAGCCAGGCCATATTGCATATGATTGGTATCCTTCTAATTGGCTGCAAAAGGCAAACTCACTTTCAGTTTATTGCTTATATGTGAGTTAATTTAGTCACAAATGGACTGAAAGCTAACTGTTAATCTGTTTCTAAACATATACTCAGCGACTGTTTTAAAAACAGCCCACAAAGATTTCTGCTATGATCATGTAACCGCAATAACCTTTCACATCCTTCCTCAAATTAATTTCAGTCTGACAATCAACACCAAGGTACCTCCTGATAAACCTGGAGCTCTCACTACTGTTTCTGTCTCCAAGAAAAACCCTTACAGAATGAAGTTGCAACTTACACTAATCTGACAACATATGACTTTCCACTAAACCCCTGGAATGGACATAAACAACTGGCTATCTGCAATGCAAACCTTTGCCTTGCCCAGAGGCCTGGTTACCTGACTCCTACAGTATTGAACTCCAATGCCTTTTTGAATATCTGATTTTGAAACAACTGATAGTTTAGGGGTCAATGCTGCTCCATACAACAATTAACACCCCCAACTCAAGGCTACAAAGGCAAGTATCAAGCAATAAAATTTTTCTTTCATCAAAACAGTGAAGTACAAGTTACACTTCAGCAAAACTTCCTGAGAAGGCATTAGAAGAGATTTTTAAAGAGAAGGAATTGCCTAATCTCTTCAACTGTTGGCTAGACAACGAATCAACCCCATAAAGAAAATTCCAGGCCACTCATGCCAATTTTGGTCTTTTACACATCTTTAAAACAAGAACTTTGTTAAACTGTTATCCTTCAGTTGTTTTCTTTTGTTTTTAAGCCACTACTAATCAAACTACCTTGTCTGTTCCTGTTCTGTGTTTTCTTGTATGTGTGACTGTGTTGCAGAGCATTTTCCTGAATGAAAAATGTGTGCGATAAACTGTTCTTCCGGTTTCTAATTTTACCACAACATAGTTTGCAATTCTTGTAAAAATCGCAGCCCACAGACAGAGCTGGGGAAATATGCCCCCATTAATTTTTTTTAATAAAGGAAAAATATCACAATCTGCTTGTGGATAGGTGGTGAGAATAAGAGAGAGGTTTGTTTTTAAACACAATCTGTCCATGAAAGATGCAACACCATTTGTTTGCACTGTAATGGTTCAGGTTCATCCGATCAGGAAACCAGAATGGTGTAGGTGAATGCAATGAGTCTGGTTTCACCCTGGTGTCTCAAAAGGTTATCCACCAATTGTGATGCGTGCAACTTGAATTCAACTTAGAGCTGCTGACAGGTATATTGGCTTTAATGTACTGACACAGATACAGAACTTGTTGACAGACTGGAAATGAAAAATAAGAATAAACGGATCATTTTCCAAGTGGCAGGCAGTGACTAGTGGGATACTGTAGGATTTAGTGATTAGACTCCAGCTATTCACAATACATACTAATTTAGAAGAGGGAACCATCTCCAAGACAACACAAAGTTGGGTGGGAAGGTAAATTGTAAGGAGAATGCAGACAGACTTCAGTGTAATTTGGACAAGTTGAGTGAGTGGACAAATGAATGTTAGATGAAGTACGTGGATAACTGAGGCTGTCCACTTTGGTAGCAAAAACAAAACAGATTATCTGAATGGCATCGATGGGGAAAGGGGTGTGCCTTGTACAGCAATTGCTGAAAGTAGGCAAGCAAGTGCAGCAAGTGAAGAAAACAAATGGTACGTTGGCCTTCACAGCAAGAGGATTCAAGTACAGGAGCAAAGATACAAGGCCTCGGTGTGCAATTTGAGTCTCCTTATCTGAGGGAGGATGTCTGGCCGTGGAGGTTTACCAATCTGATTCCTGGGATGGCAGGACTGAGGTATGAAGAGAGAATTGAGTGGTTAGGACTATATTCACCGGGGTTTGGAAGGATGAGGGGAAATTTCATAGAAACCTATAAAATTTTAAAATGGGGTAAATGCAAGAAGGATGTTCCTGATGACCAGGGAGTCCAGAACTGGGGGTGGGGTCACAGTGTAAGGATCTGTAGCAGGCCATTTAGGACTGAAATGAGAATTTTTTCACCCAGAAGGTGGTGAGTCTATGGAATTCTCTGCAACAGAAAGCCGTTGAGGCCAAAACATTGAATGTTCTCAAGAAGGAGTTAGTTTACTTCATTAGGGCTAAAGAGATCAAAAATGCATGGGAGAAAGCAAGAACAGGGTACTGATTCAGATGATCAGCCATGATCACACTTTTTGGTAGGACAAGCATCAAGGGCTAAATAGCCTACTGCTGCTCCTATTTTCCATGTTTCTATACTCACCAAGAAGAACAGCACAAGATTTGACATTTCCTGTGCTATCCAGATTTTAATTGACAGTATAACCTATATACTATATTCCTATCAGTGGTGTCAGAAGCTTCAACCTATAATTGGGTGGGTGGATCAGGGAAAAAAGTGAACTGTACTTGCTTATACTTGCAGAAAATTACATTCCAGCCTTGGAAAATATGACTGATGCCAAACAGTATCGAAAACACAACAGTTACTACGCTACACAAGTCAGAGCAGGAAGACTTGGATTACCAAAAAAACTACCTAAGCATTAAGAATTATACTTTTAGATACATCTATTTAACAAAAAATTAAAATATATAGGTGAAGGAAAGTCAATCATATTAATTAAATTTCTAATGGTAGTAGCGTGCTGAATTTAACTAGAAATTGGCAGTTTTAATTTTGATGAGTTTCATGAAAGGTTTCTCTCCGAGAGTGCTGGCAGGATTTCTCACCCCATTCATGAAAGTTCACCAAATGAGAAGTCACATGCTTCGAGGGAGCCCGATTTGTCTGACCTTCCCTCTTACCAGAGGTAGATGTGCTCACCACTGCTGTGATCTCCTGGGATTCCTGGAATCAGGACCATTTTTAAAGCCCAGCCATGCATCAGGTCAAGTGCTGTCAATCAGGAGTTGTCCTTTACTGTGCATGGGAGTGGGAATGAAGGCATAAACAAACTTATGCTTCTCACGAATTATAGGTGGCAGGGCTGATACTTCATTGCAAATACAAACGTGCATTTGTAAATCTATTTCTATAGAAGAAACAAGCCACATAATGTCCCCATTTTTAACCTCACCCCATCTAACCAAATGTCACTCTTTCTCAATGGCCAGTGAAGACTTACTTTCTTTTCATTTTTCAATGTGGAATATCACATACTCCAAAAGCAGTTAATTGGCCATCTCCAAGTCCCTGGACTAGTAGCAGATGATGCCCTTGATTTACTATGCTGCCTCCCTCTGACTGAAGGCTGTCTCCCTTGTCCTTGCTGTGGATTACTCCCTTAGTTTAAGTCCAGTGTGTGTGCTATGTAAGCTGCTGGCACATGGTGCAGGTTTAAGAACATCTTAGCACATAATAGTACAGCAACATGTCCATTCCCTTGACTGATGAATTCTGATGACCATTACTAAGATGCCTGGCTTTCTGTCTGCACTAAAAGGCTGAGCCGTTAAGCTGTGGCTGAGATGGCAAAGTGCAAAAAGGTAAGATAATTTAGATAGATGAGAGGTGCTGCATTTTGAAAAGACAACTCAGGGTATGACTTACATACTTAATAGGAAGGTCCTGGGGACTGCTGCTGAACAAAGAGACTTTGGTAGAAGGTGGATTCGTAGGTAGACAGGTTAGTGAAGGCGGCGTTTGGTATGCTTGCCTTCATTGGTCAGTGCATTCAGTATAGGAGTTGGGAAGTTATGTTGCAGTTGTACAGGACATTGGTTAGGCCACTTTTGGAATACTATGTTCATTTCTGGTTTCCCTATTATAGGAGGATGTTGTGAAACTTGAAAGGGTTCAGAGAAGATATACAAGGATGTTGCCAGGGTTGGAGGGTTTCAGCTATAGGAGAGGCTGAATAAGCTGGGTCTGTTTTTCCTACAGCATCGGAGGCTGAGAGGTGACCATATAGAAGTTTATAAAATCATGAGGGGCATAGATAGGGTGAATAGACAAGATCTTTTCCCCAGGGTAGTGGAGTCCAAAACTAGAGGTCATAAGGTGAGAGGAGAAAGATTTAAAAGGGACCTAAGGGGAAACTTTTTCATGCAGAGGGTGGTTGTGTATGGAATGAGCTGCCAGAGGAAGTGGTGGAGGCTGGTACAATTACACCATTTAAAATGCATCTGGATTGGTATATAAATAGGAAGGGTACAGAGGAATATGGGCTAATTGCTGGCACATGGGACTGGATTAATTTAGGATACCTGTTCGGCATGATCGAATTGGACTGAAGGGTCTGTTTCCATGCTGTACAGCTCTATGACTGTATAATGCAAGGGAGGGCATACTGCTATGGCTATCTAAGTGGGGAAAAAGTAAATATCTAAATCGTGCTGTATCCTTTCACAATCATCGGCACTATCAGCAACACCACCAATCTTTGTGTCATCTGCAAACTTACTAATCAGACCACCCACATTTTCCTCCAGATAGTTTATATACACTACAGAGGACCTAAGACTGAGCCCTGCGGAACACCGCTAGTTACCAGTCTCCATTCTGAAAAATACCCTTCCACCGCTACCCTCTGTCTTCTATGACTAAGCCAGATTTGTATCCATCTACACAGATCACCCCAAATCCATGTGATTTTAGTTTTTGTACCAATCTGCCACATGCACTTTATTGAATGCCTTACTAAAGTCCACATAAACTGCATCTACAGCTCTTCCCTCAATTATCTTTGTCACCTCTTCAAAAAATTCGATCAGGTTGGTGAGACATGACTTTCCCCGTACAAAACCATGCTGCCTGTCACTAACTAGTCCATTTTCTTCCAAATATGCATATATCCTGTCTCTCAGTATCTTCTCCAAGAGCCTCCCCACCACAGATGACAGACTCACCATC